GTTCTTAACCTATTTATCAGTGGGAGGCACATATTCAATGTGTTACCTGGGCCACAGGTTGAAGACCTTTGAGGGGAGGGATAATTCAGTAGTTTGGGGATTGGCCTGCTAAACCCAGGGTTGTGAGTTCAATCCTTGAGGGGGCCACTTAGGGATATGGGGTAAAATCAGTACTTGGTCCCGCTAGTGAAGGCAGGGGGCTGGACTTGATGACCTTTCAAGGTCCCTTCCAGTTCTATGAGATTGGTATATCTCCATATATTATTATAACCACAGCACTCCCCCAACCTCCCCACAGACCGCCCAGTGCCCCCCACCCAGAGACTCCTCCACATACCGGGGTCAGGAGTGGACCCCGGATCCCACCGCACGGCAGGGCAGGCGGGACCGCGGACCCTGCTGTGTGCTAATTGGACTGCCTGCAGGTTGACAACCACTGAAACAGATTTAGGATGACCGGATGTCCCGATTTTATTGGGACAGTTCTGATTTTGGGGTCTTTTTGTTATATACGGTCCTATTCCACCCACCCCCTGTCCTGATTTTTCACATTTGCTGTCTGGTCACCCTAAACAAAGTCAGCCAAAATCTGTGGCCAACTTGGGAACGTAATTGCCCTTTATCTTCCAAGCAAGAGGACTGGACTCTGGAAGACTCATCAAGACTATTAAAGGGGATGGGAGTCAGGTCTTCTGAGTTCTCTCATCCCTACCATAATTATGCTAGGCATGTTATAGGCTACATTCGAGTGGGTTGGTAGCACCAATCTAGTTAATATTGAGATGTGAATTGGATTCGGTAGGGATGGCTGACATGGACTTTCTCTGACACAACACTGTCTCTGAAGAGACAGAGCCCACTCCCCACCCAACACAAGCTCTGGAAGGCGACGTGTCCCTTGTCCTCTGTGTGCCTGAGTTGGCGTGAGGAGCATGTTCTGTCATTCAGAGATCTGAATAGATGCATATTGTTTCTCAACTGGGCTGCTGATTTGTTCTGAAGATCAGGAAGAACAATCCAAAGCCCTTATCTGCTCTTATCAGCAGGAGATTTCTGGCTGCCAGAGATGAACAAGAGGAGACGTTCTTGATGGCTGGTTTCTCGGAAGAATTCTTGCATCAGTGAAGATGGCAGGGAGATGTCGCCTCACAGAGGGATTTGCCTCCGGTGACAAGTTAAATATCCCATGAGGGAAAGTCAAAGCGGAGCCTCACAAGCTCTTTGTTGCTCTTAGGTTGTTTCCTGATTGTGACAAGTGGACCGAGAGGGAC